GGAGATGAGTTTTTGGTTTCTAAAAACATTTTTATCAGCAAAGCAGTGACTGCACTAGGTGTACTATGATGTCTTATCTTACGGATTTTTGTTCATGCAGCCAACTGATGACATAAACCAGCCCATGTTTGAAAAGGGATGCTGCTTGATTGCAGCCTAGGGTCTGACTTGCCAGGATTTCCATGTGGTCCACTAACTTCTCACTGGAGTCAGAGAATGGCTGTTTACATGCTTATGTGCTGAATTGTGCTTCTTTAGTTGAAATATGAGCCACTGCTGTGCAGGTAGGAGAGAGAAGTGGAGTAGAGATGTGTCTTTTCAGTGACAGGACGACTTGTCCTTGAGCCTGTGAGTGGCTCATGAGTGCAGCCCAAAACAAAGGTGTTGCCCTTTTATAGGTCAACCCAGATAACCTAACCCTAACCCTAATTTTTAAATAAATAAATATCATAGTACTATGGCTTAGGGAGCCGCGGCAGCTCAGTGCTGTGGCTGAGTGTAAAAGTTTGCAGTAAAGGATCCTGGAATATTTTTTCTCCTCTGAAAAAAAACAACATAGTGAATGAGATGCTTTTGGGTTGGAAGAACCACACGGTTGATTTGCAAGGCTGCTGAGAACAGTGTCATGAATATTTGTGTTTGTTCTTAATTAAAAGTGGAGCTCTCATTCAGCTATAAGTGCAGTCTGACATGCTATTGCCTAGAGCCCAGGTAGACTAGCTCTGGAGCACTGATAGATTTCAGGCTTGCAGATGCCATGTTTTTGGCATTGCTCCAGAGGGAGATCTGGGAAAGGCAGTAGTTGACATGCTGGGAGTTTTAGTGGAGTTTAGCTAACTTTTGACTTGTAAATTTTGTGTTGTTTTGTTTTAAATTCGATTTGAAACTAAGCTCTGCAAGCAGGTGATATCAAAGTATGGATGTCACATAGAATTTTCCTGAGGCAGTATAAAATAATGTTCTACAGGAGGTTAATGCAAATGCTTTATTTTCCAGAGCTATATATTTTGTACTACTTCTTGGCATTGTCAAAATACTCAATATTTTCCCCATAGTGTTTCCTTAAAATATCTGTCTCTAGATGGGAGAAAATCTGGGAAACTGTTGGTGTTAAGACTGGCCATATTCCCTATGAATCTTCGTATTTCAAGTTATTTGAGGGGAATTCATATATTCAAGATAGGTTGAACTTTTATCTGTTTGTAAATGAAAAACACTACACCAGGAAAGGTGTAGCACTCTCAGTTTTCTTCTGAAAAAAGCTTTTGAATGCTAAGTTTTCTTGTATTCTAACACATTTTGGTTTAAAATGCAAAGCCTGCCTAAAGCAGGTCCCTTCAATGGGGATCTCACCGAGGGACACTGGTGTTGGTATCTGTACAAGACACGCGGTGGATGAGGTCAGAACTGCAGGTGCAGTGTCCTTCCACTTGTACCTTTGGCTTGGTTGACAATACTTATACCTAGTAAGTATTTGGTCAGAAATATTATAGAGAGAACGAGGTAGGCTCCAGAAATTAGATGTGTAACTCAAGAGATGAAAGGTTTCTTAAAAACCCAGTGTATTGCTTTATATTTGCCTTTTTGGTATTAAACATAGGAAGTGATTAGGGCATGTATTAGGGATTTCTCAGCAAACATAAAGGCAGAGAACAATTAACTGTGCAGAAACTGATTCTCTCATTTAAAACCTGGTTGTGGAGATTTTGAAAAGCATTTCTGCAAAAGTCATGAGATCTGAAGTAGTTTAAAAGGTTGGCAGCACTGTGAGTGTTCTTCATCACGACAGATGAAATTTTAATAGAAAGCTATCAGGTGTCTGTGCTGCTGCTTTCATGCTCCACTGCAGCTTGTGAACACTTTCAGGTCTTTATTTTGGATTCAAGTGATTTTTGGAATTTAATAATTTAAATTTGCTGTTTTGCAGTCTGCTGGAGCATAGCTGCCAAATAAATGGTCTTTTGGTATTTTTGTACTTGACAGATATTCTGAGTCTGAGAGAGGTTTTCTCAAAAGTATGCTGGGTGTGGCATTTACTTCCTGACTGGTGTGGCTAAATCCGTGTCTTCCTGTTACTTTACCCAGCAGTGAGGGTGGCTGGAAACTTGGAAATTGAGTACATGAGTGTTGTGGTTTAACCCCAGGCAGCAGCCAAGAACCACACAGCTGCTCACACTTGCTCCTCCCTGCTTCCCCTGCCCGGGTGGAATGGGGAGGAGAAACAAAAGTTAAATATATAGGTTGAGATAAAAACCGTTTAATAATTGAGAACAAAATCAGCTAAAATACTAATGGATAATAAAAAGAAAAAAAACCCCAACCCAAACCCCAACAAAACAAAACGAGTGATGCACAGTACAGTTGCTCACCACCTGCAGATTGATGCCAGGTCTTGTTCCTGAACCCACGTCAGCCTCCATCCATGTAATTCCCCCCCAGTTTATATACTGGGCATGATGTTCTATGGTGTGCAATGTCACTTTGTCTAGTTCAGGTCACCTGTCCGGGCTATGCTCCCTCTCAGTTTCTTTGTGTACCTTTTCATGGGCAGAGCATGAGACACAAGAAAGAAAACATCCCTGATTTGAGATAAACACAACCTAGCAGAAACCAAAACATCGGTGTGTTATCAACATTACTCATATTCCAAATCCAAAACACAGCACTGTACCAGCTACTGAGAAGAAATTAACTCCATCCCAGCTGAAAGCAGCACAGTGAACCACGGGATTAGGACTTTTGGTGGTATCTTCTACATCCAAAGCTGCTTGCTTTTTGAGTGCCACAGGGATTGGATTTGTGTTACACTGTCTTGGTCCATTTTTTATTCCAAACCACTATTAGGTTCTAAGTTGGAAATTGAATCATAGCTGAAATTCTGTGGTCAGATGTCAGAGCTTTTGGCCTACTTGTATGAGGAAAAATTAATGTCATTACTTTGTGAATATTGAAGAGTTTAATCTAGCCAAATAAGAATTAGCTCCTTTTGACTTCATCCAAACCCTACAGATGTGCCAGGGAAAATAATATATAGCTTATTAAAAAATAAAAGTATATTTTATTAGGCAGAGTTAAATTAAAAACAGTTGTAGTCTTCACATTCTATCTGGGTGATTTTTTTTCCAGAGCAAATTTAGAGTAAAACAAACCAAACAAACTTTTTGCAGACATTCTATTTAAATTATATTAGAGGAATTTTAACTTGGGTTTTATTGTTCAAAACACATGCTGAAGCGGTGGTAACTACAGTAAAATGTGCTAGTTTTTAGAAGTAGTTCACTGTGGAGTATTTAAAAGCCAGTTTTAATACCTTTTAAAGGAATGTTGATAAAAGATGAAGTATTGTTGTATTTGGGAATAGAAATGCTGTCCTGCTGCATTGGCTTGCTTTCTTGTACTAGCTTGTATTGCAAGGTTCCTTCTCTTTCTCTGAAGTGATGCTCATATCCTCAGTCATTTTAATAGCATCTCTGCTGAATTAGCTCCTGCATCAGCCACTGAAATGAATGTTGATTCCAGTGCACCTCCCAGGCAAGGCTGAGCTACAAATGTTTTTATGAGGTGTCCTCATGGTTGTCCAAACATTTTAATTTAACAACTGGATTGATGCCCTCCCTCATTCATTTCAAGTTTTCTTTTTAACTAGAAACAACTGGTGAGGTTTCTTGACTGTCACAGTCTAAGGAATGTGTATTGCCTCTGCATTTTTTTGTATATGCTTTGGATTCATATTAAAGTGTAGCAGCTATCGTTGACAGGATATTTTGTAATTTAACTACGCTGGCTGGAGGACACATAATTGCATAAATATGACAGATTCTTGATCTGCAGTTCACCAAATGCAGTGTGTGCCTCTAAACAAAAATCATCTAATGCTTCCCTTGCATTAAAACTTCAAGTAGATTGACTGGTATGGTTTGGCTTTCAGGCCTTGTTTAAAGAGAAATGTAATTAAAGGTATTTTAACCAACTGTTAGCTGTAGCTTCAGTGTTTCCCTGTAAATTTTCTGTGCTTCAGGTCATGCTGCTGCTACTTAAAACAAAACCATATCTTGTAGTATCTTGTGGTGAGAGGGTGTTTGCACTAAAGACCAAACTATTGTGCGTGTAGGGTCAAAAATCAGTTTGAGTGTCTCTGTTGTAAGGTTTCTTTTTTGTTCTGAAACAGCAGCTCTGTATTTAAGCCCCTGTTTCGGCAGTACTAGGTGTTCTGGGGAGCTGTGCTTCGGTTTCGCAGTTTAGATTACCTGGAGAAGGCTTACTTTAACCTTGCATTTTTAGTTAGTTCCTAACAGCATCAGAATGAACCCATCACTGGTTTTGGTGCCTGAAGTCCCTTTGACTTGGTATTTGCTGGTTTTTCAGCTTAGTATTTAGGATTTCATCGTCTTCCTTCCCAGAAGCAGTGACAGTGTGATATTGGATTAAAAGACCCACTGTAGTAGTAATGGACTTGTGATTATCTGAACACAGAGCCCAGCATTCATTTACAATCTCTGCAGGATCTGCACTGGATAAAGAACAGGACTCTTCCATCTCTAGTAGAAAAACATTACTCTCAGAAACTGGTGCTCTCACCAAACAATGTGTTCTTTGGATCCTTGTGATTTTTCTCTTCAATCAATAGTGTACTGGAACCTTTTCACACAAGTTGAGCCTTCTGTCTTTGAGTGCTGCCAAACTGCAGGAGGCTTGTGGCGACCATGGGTGAAGGCTCAGAAGTGCCAGCCTGGTCTGGATCATTGAATGGGGTTGGTGCTGAAATATGGTAATAGGGAGTTAACACCAATGATGAAGCACATGCTGCATTGCAGAGTGTAGTCTCTGGGGCAGATAGAATCTGTCATATATATCTATATGTGTTTCATATTGAACATTCAGTCTATACAGGATATAAGCAATTGTCCTTGTGATTTCCAAAGGAAACCTGGTTTAACCAAGGTAGTGATGATTCCTAAGCAGTCATTGGCGTCTGTGAGCTCATTAGCTCTGGACTTTTGCTTTCAGCTCTAAAGGCTGTTGATAACACGTGAATGCCAAGTGTGAATCTTCTAATTCTGCTCTATTTTAGAAGGTGAGACAGAGACAGAGATGGAAGAGAACTAGGTGTGTCTAGAAAAGATCTTGTGAGATGAGGGAGAGAGTAGGGGACCTCAAATTGGAAAGGTAGTAATGATGTCAAAGAAATAAAGTAAAACCATAATGCTGCCTGAAAAACTGTTCATTCTTCAGTGGATGAGTTTGTCTGCAAGGCACAGATCCAAAAGTAACTGCAGAAAGTACAATTATGGTGAAATGGATGTGACATTTCTTGTTTGCTACTAATAATTTTTTCTTCCAGATAACTAGCCCACCAGGTTGTGGCAAAACTCAATTTTGTATTATGTTGAGTGTTCTGGCTACACTGCCTGTAAGCATGGGAGGACTAGATGGAGCTGTTATATACATTGACACAGAGTCTGCCTTCAGTGCTGAAAGGTAAGATGCAACTTACAACTTCTTTAGCACCTTTAATCTTGGAAACTTCAATTGTTTTCTGAGCAATAATTAAGCATTTATAAATACCTGCGGTAGATACTAAATATTCCTCTGATATATGCAGTTATTCCATAGTTGATGAAATTAATTTAATAGAATGGTTTGCTCACCTTCCTAATTTGTGTGATGTTGCAGATTCCAGTTCTAACCTTGTTTTTTTGTCAAGTTATTTTCACAAAAGTTTGAGGTGTAATATATTAAAGAAAAAAAAGGCTTCAAGCAACGGCTCTGCAAAGTATGGTGATTCCTTCTTACACACCACTTAAGTTTTATTTCAGATCCCTGAAATGTAAGTACTAAAAAAGGGTAGAATGTAATGAGTGAGTTAAGACTTGTTGCTTAGAAGTGAATGCTAAAGAAAAGGAAAGCAGGTGAACATGAAAATGAAACTCCTGAACAGAACAGGATGTAGAAAGGAAATGTGAAAATAACGTTATTAACGATGAGAATATTTATGTATTAAATCATATTTAGTGTTGCTCAGTTGGAAATTATATCTAAACACAATTTCAGCAGACTGGCTATATCTTATACATTTTTTTTTCCAATCCCAGAGGAGCCGAACCAGCAGAGTGAGGGAGGTACATATCTCCTTCTACTTTGTATGTGCTAGGCTGCACCTAGATCCTGTGTCCAGTTTGGGGGTCTCAGTATTAAGATATGATGGACTACACGCAGTTCAGCAGAGGACTACCAAGATGGTTGGGAGCTGGAGCACTTGGCATTTGTGGAGAGACTGAGGACTGGCTCAGTCTAGAGGAGAGAAGGCTTTGGGGGGATCTAACAGCTGCTTTCCCTTGCCAATGACGAGGACACGAAGAAGATGGTACAGTGGTGTGTGGCAGGGAGGCAGCTGGCATACATTGTAATCCATTTCTGTTCTGATATATGGAAAAACTTTGCAATTCCTGACTGTCTTTATGGTGACAAAAGGTTGCCTAGAGAGGTGGTGCTGCCTCCATCCCCAGAGGCTTCCAAAATAGACTCAACTAACTTGTTCTGAATTTGTATCTGGTACTCCTTTGAACAGGATGTTGGCCTGGAAATCTCCTGAGTTCTCTTTCCAAGCTGAAATTTCTTACAATTCTGTAATCATGTATTATTAATAGTTGGCAAGTGGAAGATACTTTGGTTTTGTTGTCTAAACACTTCAGATAAGAAGGCATTTAATAGCAACTTAATTTAAAGGACATAATGGAGAGATTTAGCTGGCACTGGTTTTGATTAACTCTCAAAAGCCTCTGCAGAAAGCCTGAGAAGAGTGTTTGTATCTCTGCTGCTTTTTAGGGCTGAGAGTTGCTAAGTTGTAGCAGTCATACTGGCTGTAATGCTGCATAAAGCTGGCTAATTTTATTTCTTTTGGTGAAAGACACATGTCTTTTGTCATTCTGCCTGGCAGGTCTAATTTCAGGAAAGGGAGCTTTTTGCTTCCACAAACGTTCAGAGTGTTTTTGCTTATTCTCTAACATGATTTCTGGGTGATGCAGTTTAGGGTTTGCAGTGGTAGTGCTAGGTGCATCCTTGGACTTGATGGTCTTAAAGTTTTCCAAGCACAACGACTCTATGACAGTTTAGTTCAGTCTAACAGCAAATGCTGAGAATTGAGGCTGGTCTTCTGAGATATGCCACAGGTTTCTGTAACTTACATCCTTTTCTCTTGTGTGAGAGAAAGCTGTACCAGTGCAAATGGTGTCTGTCATTCTGCTTGGCCTGAATATGGACGCCAGGACAGGTAGATGAAAGGACTGTAGTAAATCTGGAGATCAAAATTGTTGTCATCAGTTTTGTAGTAGCCAGCTATTCCAGCTACTAATTGAAAACATATCAGATGTATTTAGAAAGTCTGCAAGAAATTTATTAGGTTGGCATTTTTCACTTCTTATATTTGCTGCTTGTGAAAAACACTAGATAGCAGTTTCTGTCAATGAAAGCTGAGAACAAAATAGTTATGAATCCCATGGGCTTCTGCCCTGATTGCAGAAAACATGTTCTGAGCAGTCTTTGGTCTTATCAGGACAAACGGGGTTTAGATATCAATGAACTTTGAACCTGCATGGAGCTCTGTGGATAGTGCTGTGATCTCAGCAAGATCTTCACGTGTCATTTTAGGTCAGTCTGTATAATGATATCCTTTGCAACATCCATGTCTGTTAAAAAGCACAGTGAAATCTCCTTTCGTGCTGATCATTGGGTGGCAGGTCACTATTGCCCAAATGGTCTATGTGATTAATTAATTGTGCAGGTGGGCAAATGAGATTCTGTCTCTGGAAGTTCTGCAGGACAAGTTTAGATGTAATGAGTAATGTACCTAGTGAGTGAGATACAGGCTATTGTAATGGAATTGCTTGCTCAGGGTAGGTATATTAACATTCAAGCTCAGTATTTTTAAACCAAATAAAATGGGTTTTAATTTTTTGTTTTCTAAAACAGTTTTAACATTATGAGCCTTAATAAAAGGGGCCTAAATCAAAAGCCTCAAGACTAAGTTGTGACCCTCACTGTGTTGTGCCCACAAGTATCATCCACTAGATGCCACTCTTCTCAAACGATATGACCTGGGATATGTCTGCTTGAAATACACACAATTAAGTATTTTCTGTTATTAAAAAATAAAATCTTACTTGTGGAAAATGTTCGATGCTCAGATTGTAACTGAGCTTCAAAGTTAAGTTCTTGGATCATCTAAGGACCTAGATAAAATTGCCTTGTCACCAGAGGAGTGGAACTTCTTTCCAGTGACTTCTGAGGAGTTTGTAGGCGGTTAGCACTTCTAAAGTGTACAGCATTTAGTGTCCTCAATAATTTTGTGAATAAAATATCATTTAACTTGTACATATGTGTGAGATTTTTTTTAAGACATAATTTCTGAATATGAAAGTATTTTGGCAGCAAATAATAAATATCCACCTTCCTCTGACTTCTTTTGATATCACCAGTTATCTGATACATTTCCATAGTGGTATGCTTAGCAATTGTAATTCCAGGTTTTGAAGGGTTATGAATTTGCTAATAAGGCAATGCATAGCATTTAATCATGGAATCCCACATGGAGTTCTGTCAGTAAATGCAGCAATTTAAACTGTTTAGTCATTTTGTCATACGAAGTTTTGCCAGTTGTACCTGTGGTATCGGAATGGATTGATGTTCCATTGGAGCCTCCGTCGCTTTGTGGCATGATGCTGTTTGCTTTTTGGGTTTTTTGCTGTGTTCTAAAAAGTGTATTGTTTTATAAACCCTTTTTATAAATAGGTAACTGGCAAAACAGAAACAGTTTCAGTGAGAGTCTCCCATGGAAATGGCCTCGTTCATGCTTTTACGGAGAGATTGTCTGTGACCAGATTTTCACTTTGTCAGGCATGCTTTCCATACATGTACTGCTTGCATGAGTACTTACAGTCGAACTGGGCTCTGTCCTTTGCAATTCTGCTTCCATGTGGGCTGGATCTTCTAATGGATCTTCTGTTCCTTATCAGCTTGTTAAATTCTCTGGTGACAGGAGGTCCACTTTGATTTCACTGCAAGATAAAGGTGAAAAGGAAGATGGTTTTGAGCTGGAGAATAATTTTGTTTAAATGAAAATAGTATTTAGGCATTATAATTAGGACAATGTTTTGGCATTGAGTAGAACTTCTTGTATAAAAGTAGAAGAACTTTGCATTCAGTAACTAAATTTTGCAGTTCCCTTCCAGAGGAGATAAGCCCTTTCTTTGTGTACAGACACATTGTCTTTTTCTGGTGTATCACTGACTCATGATCACTGGGAAGAGAACCTAACTGTTCAGACTTCTGGTGTTTCAGTCTGACTGATAGTGTGCTTTCCCTTTGAAAGAGATTTCCATTATTACTTGCTATCTGCTTATCATTCAGGTAGTGCTGTGTTTGGTTTGTGAATACTGGATGCCTTATTATCCTACATTATTCCTATTGCAGTGTTATGCCTTCTGTTGTGTTTTTTCTTTGTTATAGGTTGATTGAGATAGCAGGAAACAGATTCCCTAGTTATTTCAACTCGGATGAAAAGCTGTTGTGCATGACCCGTAGCATTCACCTGTATCGAGAGCTGACATGTAGCAGTGTACTGAAGAGGTATCCTTTTCCAGAGTTTACAAAAAAAAGAGAGACCATTTTGACTGGGTTGTCTATAACAATACTGGGTTTATATTGAGATTTTATGAAGAGCAATTAATTTATTTGAGACTTTTTCATGTTGATAACAGCATGGTCTCCAGCAAAGTAAAACAGCTACACAAAGATCTACATTGCTCTTGTCATTTCGTAGCATATGATTAATACAGTTGCTGTTTTTTAATTTCTGATAGACAATTTCTGTATGATCTTCTCTCTGTAAGCTTTTAATGGGCTTCAGGAGAGATGTCTTCTCTTGGATTATGGAGAGACCGTGGTGTAAGAGTTATGTTTTCATGAAACAGGAGTTTGTTCATTCAAAGCACTGTTTACTTTCAGGGAGATGGGGACCCTTCCAGCAGTGGGAGGGAGGAATCATTTTAACAGTCATCAGCCTGAATGCTGTTGTTGGCAGTGTTACGTTGTCGTGTTGTTACCTTATATTAATTTGTGAACACATTTTGCAATGAAAATGAGTTATATTTTAGCATCATCTTGTGTATTTAATGTTAATGAGAGAATTATTCTAAGAATAGTGTTTTTTTTTCTAGTGCAGCTGTATCAGAGAACAGCTATAGCATATTATAGAAACATGGAATGATCCCACCACCATGGGCAGGGATGCCACCCTCTAGACCAGGGTGCTTAGGGCCCCATCCAACCTGGCCTTGAACACTTCCAGGGATGGGCACCCACAGCTACTCTGGGCAACCCGTGCCAGTGCCTCACTACCCTCTGAGTAAAGAATTTCTTCCTAGCATCCTTCCACATACATACACACCTCAGATTCTGGTGTTGGCAATGGGATGTGTCTGCTCTGGGCAGAAGGGCAAAGTGTTGATGTGCACTTTACTTGCCATCTGCCATTCGGGGTTGTACAGCACAGCGGTGCTAGCTAGTGGTTCTTCCAAACCTCTCTTTTGGAGAGGTTCTGTCTGGGGGTTTGTGGCCCACTGAGCCTTAGATTCCTGTCTTCAATACATGCAGATGTTGGTGGAGGTAGTATGTAAGGAGGGAAAAAGAGGGGCTGAGTTTCAGCTTATTAAAGTAAACCTTTTACTTAAAGAATTTCAGGGTTATAAAATGGTTCTATTGTGTAAATAATTCTGTCAGTCACTTTAGTTTTTTTTATTTTTAGGATTATGTCTTTGGAAGAAGAAATTATTTCAAAGAAAGTTAAGCTCATAATAATTGACTCTGTTGCTTCAGTTGTCAGAAAGGAGTTTGACACAAAACTCCAAGGCAATCTGGCAGAGAGAAGTAACTTTTTGGCTAAAGGAGCATCAGCGTTGAAGTATTTGGCAGAGGAGTTTTCAATACCAGTAAGTTCTTCCTCCTTTCTAAAGTTTTTGCCTTACAGGGTCAAGTAATAAAGTTTGAAAAGAATGAAAATGACAGGAAGATGAAAACCAGAAAATTATTCTAGCAGGTATCTTCAAGCCAGTACCTGCTGGAAAATATTTGGGAAATGGAGGAGCAGTATCTGTTCTGCTTGGTGGCTTTTTGTGAGGGTTTTTTTTTAATTTTAAGTTGTTTTTATTGTCTTTTAAATTTAGGCCTTCAAATAAGATTTTACAAGATTCTCCAGCTGTGTTTCAGTGCTCTGTTTTGGGTTGGGGGTTTTTTCCTATATTTTATTTTGTTGCCATTAAATACTGTTTACCCTGATGGTTCCCTTTTACTGCAGTGTCACTCTAACAGGTGCATACTCTGTCTTGGTGAAGATCTTTTTCTGCCTCTGTCCTTTGTACTTGAGTTAACAGAATCTCAGAAGGCCTTATGCTCTGGAACAGCATAAATTCCTTTTGTAGCTGTTCTATGCTGATTTACACAGAAGGAAAGGCAACAGCTCAGCAAATCCTTGTCAGTGTAATTGCCCATAAAATACAAAGGAAAACATGGATGCAGTGCAGGACTGGACAGACTCAATCGAAAAGTGCTTTAGAAGATGTAAACTGTATAAATGTGTTTTTGTGTGTGTTTGTTATATGATCCACAGAGGATCATAGCAAAAGGTATCATTAAAACTCAACCTGTGAAAGTATTTCCTGGTATGGGTAACCTACTCATCACTCCAGTGTAAGAGAGAAACTATTGCAAGTATGTGAGTAAGTGTGGTGGGGCCTCTTCACTCTGACTCTCCTGAGGTCACAAAAACTCTGATACCAGAAATAGGTGTGGAACTGGCTGATGTAGCTTAAGAGGGATGGATTTCCTTCTGCTATGTGACTCCTAAAGACTTTTGATGGGGAAGATCAAACCCTGTGTAAGTGCCTTTAAAGTTCAGGTACAAAAAATAGTGTCCTAGTCAGTGTACTCAGTAATGTTTACAGTGCTTTAAAAAGCCAGGAAAGAATTGTGTGTAAGTATATACATGCTGATATTTTGAGAAAATATGATGCAGTCCTTTGAAAACGAGGAGAAATTTTGTAAGAAGGTACTATTTTTCGCTCTTTCTCTATTTTCTTCTCCTTTAGATGGCCCCTGCTCCTCCCTCCACCTTCACTGAGATGGTGAAGCTGAGCTAGATTTGGACCTCTGACAGTTGAGGCTGCTGTCCTGCTTAGTCAGAGAAACAGTGTTGATATGCACTTAGATCTTAGAATTGGACAATATGGAGTAGCCAAAGACTGTGATCCTAATTCTTCTGTCTAAGAAGAAAATAAAGCTTTAACTTTGAAAGGTTTCCATTATGTTAGAGCTGACATGTTTGCTTTGAGACATTTGCAGTACCTGATGTGCTGGTCTGTCATTGTTTCTCACTGGGAATACTTGGGTAAGGAGTTCTGAGATTTTGGGCAGGAACTTGTGCTCTGGTCACAGCCTTTGTCTTTTTGAATTGGTCCATGAGAGGTCTTACCTTTCAAATAAAATCTTAAAAGATCCATGTAATTACATGTGCATACACAGATTGGAAAGCTTTTCTATTTTTAAATCAGATTTATCAATTTGCTCAATGAAATTACAACTCTCTTTTCGTTGATCATCATTGTTAACAAACATGGCTTGTGGTTGTTTCTGGAGTTACTACAGTTTGTTTTGTAAGTCCTATTAGTTCAGAATTCTGGGAGGGCCTTGACTAGAGATTTGGGTACTTGCAAGCATGGATCCCTGGGCAAGGCTGTGTATGACTAACGTGCAGAATCTGATGTTGGGCTGTGTTATGTATCTGCTAGTGTTGGCACATACTACGAATCAGTCTGCTGATGCACACATTGCCTTAACCTCTGCTGCTTGAGCTTACAGAGTATCCAAGGTTCTCACTGCAAGTAACTGTGGTGGAATTATTTCAGGTGTTTTTACTTACTAGAAAGTCATAAATATAAATTTGAGACTAAGAACATTTGTAAGCTTGCAAAGTGATTTAGATATCTTAATAAATTGGACACATGAATGAATATGTAATGCTGCATGGCAGAATCAGTGCCATGTGAGTTGGGCAACAAGTAGGGGGGCTTAGTTTGAGGCTGAAAAAGATTTGGAGTTGCTGGCTAGTAGGTTTTGAACTTGAAGCCAATCCTTTTGGCTATAGCTAAAGGTCTGGTGAAAAACTTTGAGTAGTTGAGCAAGGGAATTGGAAATAAGGAGGTGTCAGCTATAACTGTTACTGGAGCAGTACATCTGGTGTTTACTGTCCAGGGAGGATGGTGGAAAATAAGCTTCCAAAGAGCAGCCCTGACAATGACTGGGAGAATAGGGGAGGGTAGTCTTAGTGATGAAGGTGCAAGGTGCTTGATGTGTTTAGCTGAGCTAAGGAAATGTTATGGGCTTCTTCATTAGTCAGTGTGTTCCTACTTGGCAAAGAGGTATGTGATAAAAGCAGCTTTCTCTTTAGCTGACAAAGGTGTACCACAGCTCTGTGGTTGGAAGCAGAGTTAAGCAAGTTCAGACTTCAAAGAAGGGATGTGTTCTTACTGGACTAATTCGTTGCTGGAATGCATTACTAAATATAAATAGCTGCTTATCACTGCATAGGTTTCTAAAAAGGAAATGGGTTCAAACACAATTGACTTTGGCGACACCTTGTACTACCATGTTTTGCCAGAGTTCATATGTTTAAATGCAGTTCTTTCTGTTCATGTTATAAACCCTCTAGCTGTTTATAATTGTGTGTTCATGGTATCAGGTTATGAAGTTTGATGTGTAAAAGTGACTAACATTCATCACTTTTACTAAGCTCAAGGGGAGCTGTTTTGAATGCAAGTAGCTCTATATGGTATGAGGTATTTGGAAAAAAGCTGACCTTAATTGCCACAAAACTGATGGTCATTGTTCAGTAACCTCTCTGCACCTCTATGTGCAGTTTGTCAAATGGGAATAGCAGAGCTGTTTGCTGAGAGGGTGCTGTGAGGATGGGTCATTTCTAACGAGAAACCACTTCTACTGTGTCCAGGAACAATATGTAGATGCTCATTGGAAAGTAAAATTGACATCCTTTATCAGTGTGAAATGTAAACAAGTTGTTCTAAATGGAACCTTAATCCCTCTTTTGAGATGAGAAAAAAATAATAAACATACTAATTGAATGGCACCATCTTAGCCACTGAACAAAGTGGTGAAAGTTGTGTGTGATTGTAATTTTTTGCTTGACTTAATGTTTTTTTTTGTTGTTTGTGAAGTATGAAGAAAAGCAAAACTTTTTTTTTTTCTTTTTCTTATCTATGGACATTAGGAAAACATAAGTTGTTTCTCAAAAAGCGACATATTGTGCTCTGTAAACTTTATACCCAACATTTTAATTTACTATAAAAAGCCAAATGTTTAGCTAAATTTATATTTGGTTTTAGGTTAAGTTTTTTCTTCTCAAAATCAGTCTATAATGCACAAATTACTTGACATCTCTAGTGCCTTTTCTGCTGCATTTGGTTAAGTGTGTTTGATTGTACCATCTCAGCTTTCTGACGTAAAGTGGCTCAAGATTGAAGTGCTCCTGTTGGCACAGAGGGAATATTCAAACTGTTGATTTTCTTTGTTCATAAGCAAGTATTCCCATTTGGCCTTTTTCTTGATTCTGTTTTATTCTGTTTCTGCAGAGATGGTTCTTGCCACCATCTCTGCACCTTTGCTATTGCTGTTCTGATATTTAAAAATACTAGTTTGTGGAGTGCTAAACAGATTCCAGAGTGAAAGATTTCTGAACAAGGGTTGTTTAGATGCCAGTTCCCTTTGAACTGGTAACGAATAAGTAGAGAATTTGGAAAAAATGACTGGTCAGTTTGTTGTTACAGTATGTAACAACACCGTGTGCTGACTTTTCCAAAACTGGGGTTACGTTAGACTTTCAGATGAATTTGTCTGTATCTGGACTGTAAACTGCTAAAATAAAAGCTTTGTTTTTATACTTCGCTATTAAAAAGTAGGCTTGATAGCAGCATTACAGAAACAGAGTTATTTTTGCAAATTGTTTAAATTTCGGACGAGATAAGCTTTTCTTGCAAAACTTAAAGAACTGGTTCTATTTTTGTGTTCTGTATAAAGAGAACTCTCTCACGTGTTATACTACATGGAAACATCTGTTTCTTTAATGAGGAGCTCACCTTATCAGAATAAAACATTCTGGAACTGAGTTGTCAGAATTTTACTAGCTCTGTCTAGGCCAGATGTGTTTTGAGCTGTTCCTAGTGATGAGAATTCAGTGGAAAGAATGGATTCTTTTCTGTTAAGCTACTGATATTTGTGTATAGTGTCTTGTCACTCAAGTTTCAAGCATATTTTGGGTTTGTGTATGTATGTGAACTTGAACACCCTTCCCAACTGCTAATAGCATCTTTATATTTCTACATAGTCACACTGGACTCCTGGCTATCTGCTTGCTGTGCAGGCTTGAGGTTTATGTGATAATGTAATTCTTCTTTCAGTCTGGGGCTGCTACTTGCTTTGTTTCTCTCGTCCTCCCTTCCATTTGAGTGGCTTTTGTGCTTTTTTTTCATGAAGTTTGTATGTTTCTCTAGGGAGCAGCATGACAGTTAAAACAGTGGGTGACTGATCAGAAGACAGAGTAGTGCTTTTGAACGGGCAGAATCTAACTAAGATAATTAACCAGCTTGGAGAAACTAAGTTGTCCTCCAATCAACTTGATAGGATGAAATTATACTGGTGTGTTATGCTAATCATACTCTGAACATTATCCACAGAAGCATAAATATTTAGGATAATATAGATATTGGAGAATTTGCTAACTTTATTCTTTGATAGGAAACAAAGACTTTTTGAGTAGACCTAACTTTTGAGCCATGAAAAACTTGTTTCCCAAGCCGGGCAGATACTTCCAAAACTTCCAAAACTAACTTTCTTCCAGTAAAAGACAATTCTTTTTCTCTTC